TGTAAATAGTTGGACAGTGTTGAGTGAATTAGTTGTTCAGTAGAGTGATGGCATGCAGAAAAAAACTGTCCTTGTGTCTAGTTGTTCTGGTGTGCTGTGTTCTATAGCATTGTTTTGAGGGAAGGAATTGGAATAGTTTATGTCCAGGATGTGAAGGGTCTGTCAATATTTTCACAGCCCTCTTTTTGACTCGTGCACTATACAGGTCCTCAATGGAAGGCAGGTTGGTAGTAAATTGTTTTTTCTTCAGTCCTAATTATCCTCTGAAGTTTGTGTCTGTCTTGTTGAGTTGCAGAACCAAACCAGACAGTTATAGAGGTGCAGATGACAGATTCAATGATTCCTCTGTAGAACTGGATCAGCAGCTCCTTGGGCAGTTTGAGCTTTCTGGGTTGGCGCAGAAAGAACATTCTTTGTTGTGCTTTTTTGATGACGTTTTTGATGTTAGGTGTCCATTTTAGGTCATGTGGTATAATAGAACCTAGAAATTTGAAGGTTTCTACTGTTGATACTGTGTTGTCTAGTATTGTAAGAGGTGGTAGTATAGGAGGGTTTCTTCTAAAGTTGACCACCATTTCTACGGTTTTGAGTGTGTTCAGTTCCAGATTGTTCAGGTTACACATTGTGAAAAGTACACTTTAATGTAATTTGATTCCTTGAATTTAAACGCTTGGTGACTTTAGGAAAGACGTGATCATTATGAAAGGATCAGTCAATGAACCCAATACAGCATGACCCCAAAGTCAATGATGAGTAATGTTTTCTGCATGCCTACAAATATGGATGTTGAAGGAATAATTAAATAAAATTCAATGGATGTTGAGTGAAGACACAAAATTCTTCTGAATGTTTACTTTTATCCCAAATGCACAATTAAATACCAGGCAGTTTTTCACAATCTTTTAAAAGGGGTAGAATGGATTTATGAAATGGATTTATTTATTTATACACAATAGAATATTATAGCCCAGAATTACACACACACACACACACACACACATTGTACAGTAGCTTCAAAGTGTATGACAACAATAAGTAGGGTAACAAAATATTTCTGAGTATTTTTCAGTTTGAACAATTGAACGCTGTAACAGGATACCCAGGGTGAATGAACTACCCTATTCACTTTCATCAGTTAGTTTCATGATGTCTACTTGATGTGTGATTCAACTGTTCAGCTGATACTTGGCATATGTACAACCTTTGGCTGTAACTTCTCTGTAAAGGATAGAATGGTAATCCCAACTAAGATCAGCATGATAAGTGTTGGGCCATGTCTATGGAGATTCTTAGTCATCCAGGTCATGTTTGTCTCAAACATGCTTTTTCAAGAGGCAACTGGACTTTCTGGGGTTTTTTTTGAAGACATTTCACTTCTCATCCAAGGAGCTTCTTCAGCTCTGACAGGATAGTGGGGAATAGAAGGATTCATATTCCTTGCAGACCGCTATTCATTTGCATCCTTTTAGAGGGGCCATTGAGGCCGCTTGGAGGTTTGTCTGTGTCACACTTTGTTGAGGGAGGACTGTTCAATTTTGACCTAGATGGCCTCTTTGACCCTTCTTTCAAACCAGTAATCCTGTCTGTCCAAAATGTGGACTTTGCTGTCTTCAAAAGAGTGGTCTTTCTCTTTTAAATGCAGGTGGACTCCTGAATCTTGTCCTCCTGGGTTTGTTCTCCTATGTTGTCTCTCCTTCCACTCCTCACCATCCAGTCAGAACTGAAGAAGCTTCTTGGGTGAGAAGCAAAACGTCTTCAAAGAAAAATAAGGAAGTCCAGTTGCCTCTTGAAAAAAGCACCTTTGGGACAGCATTGGTCTATGTTTACACCAGGAGCTGGAATTGACGCCGTGGCACCTCGCTAAATATCTAGGGAAACCTATGTTAGCTACCATGCAAGGAAACTTAAAAAAATAGATGTATGAATAATAATAATGTTTCCCTCGTGTCCTTTACAAAAACAAAATGAGAACTAGCACAGCACAATTATCCCTTTTTCAGATCCATGACTTCCAGTTAGCCTTGGAGGATCTGATCATAGGTGAGCTACAAATAGCCTCCTTCACTTTTCTGTCTTTTCCCCAGATTCTTTCCCAATGCATATTTTTATATCTCTTTCTTGATAATAAGACATTGTGGAGAAGTTATGGGAGGGTGAGTTAAAAAGTTTCATGCAATGGTGAGACAAATAAGTAGGGGTTAGAGGTTCCATCCTCAAAACCCCCACTCCTTTAACCTCAAACTATCCACTATTGACCTCACCCCATCCCTAAGAGGTCTGAAAGGGACGTGTATAAGGGCACCATCGTGCCTACCATCCCTGTCCTATTGTCCCCATTTATTCATACCTATTTCCTGTATTGTTACTCATGTTTATATTTATACCTATTATCTTGTATGCGATTGACAAACAAACAAACAAACAAACTATCTTTGGTCCTTATCCATCAGGGAAATGTTTCCTGCTCATGAAATGCCTGAATTTAAGAAAGGGCATGCTACTGTTAGAACTGATTGAGCTGTTTACAAGTCCACAAGACTGCATGTGTAGCTAATCCCCTCATTGCCTACAAGTTACTAGAATGCATAGAATTTTGCTTGCCAATGAGTTTAACCACAAATTTCCAGAACTAACCGGAATGAGACTCTGTGATTTATTTGTTGACATCAAATCTTGCAATTTCTTAGTGCGCTTCATGCTGTTGTCTTGATTTTCTTTTCATCCCAATATTAACTGATTTGTATGCACCACAAAGCATAAATGGTGACCACTTAAATGTTTATGGCCAATTGAGTGACAATTTGTACAAAATATTGGGATGTGTTGTTTTATCTCAAGGATGTCGTCTGTCGTCTTCTCAAGCATTTCACAGGACTCTCACAAATAAATCACTTTTTAAAAAGCGATGCAAGCTGGTATATTGAAATAGAGCATGGCGCCACTTTGTATACAGGATGCTAAACCGAATACAGTATGCCTGGATTCTTCAAGAAAAAAAAAATGCATTTGCAATGACTGCTTGAGAAAAGGAGGAGGAAAAAATAATAATTTAATCTGCATGTGAAAATTAACCCTTAGAGTCCTGCTTCTAATTTTAGGACTTTTGTTCTGTGTTATTTTCTTGGCAAAGAGATTCTCTTTATTTCTTTCAACCTTGGTATCGATCCAGTTTCCTATAGAATTTCTCCCAGGTTTCTCACTGGGAGAATATTCTTCTGTGACACCTTCCTTTAGTACGTGGTCAAAGGAAGAATCAAAATGCACTAGACTTACACTGACATTATTTGTCAAAAAGGCAAGATTAGATCATTAACAGCAGGCTGAAAAATTAAGAAAAGCTTGTATAAATTCCCTAAAATGGCCAAATATTGAGGGGAAAAAAATCTGTCCAGCTTATTCTTGTAAGCTCTTCAATAGCAGAACTAGCTTGGAAAGTTCCCATCACAGAGGGTGGAAGGTTTGATCTTTTCCTGGAAGATTAAGCTGTTGCACAAAATTTTGGGGGGCTAGCCAAGTTGTAATCTTGATACGTGTCTTTAAATGTTTTGTAGAAAGAAGTCAGTTCTTTAAGGGTTAATGTGGGGTTGAGTTCTCTCTTGCTCATCCTTCCTTTAAAGCGCCTGCATGTTTTCTCTCTTTCCGCTGTTGACTGAAGATGTGAATAATAAGAGTATCCAATGTTTTCATCTACTCAAAGGTACTCAAAGGACAATGTGAGGACCAATGCTTCTGGGCCTTTGAGAAACTGGGTAGCTAGACCCAAAATAGCAAAGACTGAATTATCTAGAGCAAGGGTCTTCAAACATGGCAAGTTTAAGACTTGTGGACTTCAACTCCCAGAATTCCTGAGCTAACATGACTGAAGGAGGAATTCTGGGAGTTGAAGTCCACAAGTCTTAAAGCTGTCAAGTTTGAAGACCCCTGCTCTAGTTAGCTCCTTGAGAAGGTATTTGGAGTAATGGCTTGTGAGGGAGGAGGTGACCTCTCTACAAAGATTGTCTGGGTGGGCTGAATTTCTAAATCAAGAGTCTTCAAACTTGGCAAGCTGTCAAGTTTGAAGACCCCTGATCTAGATAATGTCAGTGGTCAACAGGCTTTATTTATGAGATTGATATAGCTGCCTACATTGTGTAATAATGGCTCCAGGCAGCATATACAGATATTCCTCAACTTACAACATTTCATTTACTGACCGTTCCAAGTTACAGCGTCACTGGGAAAAAGTGACATATGACCTTTTTTTTTTTCACTCTTACGACCGTTGCAGCATACCAACGTTCATGTGATCAAAATTCGGATGCTTGGCAGCTGGCTCGTGTTTTATGACGGTCGCAGTTTCCCTCCGATGACCTTCCAAGGAGCAAAATTGACAGGGAAAACAAACCACATTCCTAACTTAACCCCTGGAGTGATTCGCTTCACAACAGGTGGTAAGATAGGTCGTAAAATGGGAGCAAAGCTCACTTTACAAAAGGTCTTGCTGTGTGACATAAATTCTGGGCTCAGCCATGGTTGTAAGTCGAGGATTAGCCGCATCGATTGCAAACCCAGGGAAAAAATAATATTGCAGAGAGTATAATATCCGCTAAAGGAATCCATAAACAAACATAACCAACAATACGCCTCCAGAGCTCATACGTCGCACCATCTATTCCTAACAGATGTGCTAATCTTTAGATATAGATGAGATAGATAAATATAGATACAGATTATAGATCAGGGCTCCCCAAACTTGGCAACTTTAAGACTTGTGGACTTCAACTCCTAGAATTCTCCAAGTCCTCAAGTCTTAAAGTTGCCAAGTTTGGAGACTTCTCTGCTGATCGATTATGCTGTCCAAAATACCTGTGGGAAACACCAAGATATATTTTTATATATATTTTCCTGAAGACTGACAGGGCTGGAGCCACCTAAATCTTAATTTTTACCTTCTTTTTCCCCCTATGCTGGTTTCCTTCCTCCAAATAACTCTGTTCTTTTCTTTTCTTTTTCTTAAATAGACCAATAGAGTCTTGCCAGAATTTCTACAAAGATTTCACATTGCAGATAGACATGGCTTTCAATGTGTTCTTCCTGCTCTACTTCGGCTTGCGAGTAAGTATATAACCCGTTCCATACCTGTTTTCTTGGGGGGGAGGGGAGGGGGAGGGGTTTTTTTTGTAAATTGTAATAAGTTACAATTGTAACTTTATTTAAGTTGCACTTAAATTTGTAACTTAATTTATACTTAAATTGTAATAAGTTACAAGGTGGTGGCTAAGATGCTGAGCTTGTCGATCAGAATGGTCGGCAGTTTGGTGGTTCAAATCCCTAGCGCTGCATAGCGGAGTGAGCTCCCGTTACTTGTCCCAGCTTCTGCCAACCTAGCAGTTTGAAAGCATGTAAAAAAAATGCAAGTAGAAAAATAGGGACCCCTTTGGTGGGAAGGGAACAGCGTTCCGTGTGCCTTCGGCGTTCAGTCCTGCCGGCCACATGACCACAGAGACGTCTTCGGACAGCGCTGGCTCTTCGGCTTTGTAACGGAGATGAGCACTGCCCCCTAGAGCCAGAAACGACTAGCATGTAGGTGCAAGGGGAATCTTTACCTTTAATAAGTTACAACATTGTCTTCCTCAAATGTTTTCATCAGGGAACCTGCAAATTTGATGGAAGCTCTTTAACCTGATTGCTTATTTAGCATCCATGACTCAGTGTTGTATCTAATGTTTTATGATGAATGTATTTTTACAATGACTATGATAATGGTCTATCATTATTGTTGTATGTACACTGAGAGCTTATGTACCAGAGACAAATTCCTTATGTCTAATCACATTTGGCCAATAAAGAATTCTAATTCTAATTCACTTTTCTGTCTCTTCTGAACAAACTACTTGAAGGGTTTGCCCGAACCCACATTGAGATGAGGAATGACACACACACCACACTCACACACATGCATTGGTGAGACCCCACTTGGGTGTACTGCACCCAGTTCTGCTTACCACAATACAAAAAAAGATGTTGAGACCCTAGAAAGAGTGCAGAGAAGTGCAACAAAGATGACTAGGAGTCTGGAGACTAAAGTGTATTACGAACTATTATGGGAACTGCAAAGTGTCTAATCTAAGGAAGAGAAGGACTAAGGGTGAAATGATAGCTGTCTTCTTGCTTTGAGGGCCAGTCACAGAGAGGAGGGGATCAACTTGTTCTCCAAAACACCTGAGGACAGGATAAGAAGTAATGGATGAATGTCCCAAAGGTGCTTTTCAAAAGGCAAACTGGATTTCCTTGGGGTTTTTTCCTTCCTTGAAAACATTTTTCACTTCTCATCTGAGAAGCTTCTTCAGTTTTTGGATCTTATCCAAGAAGTTTCTTCAGTTCTTGGATGAACCAAAGAAGCTCCTTGGATAAGAATTGAAATGTTTTCAAGAAAAACCAAAACAAAACAGAAAGTCCAGTTGCCTTTTGAAAACCACCTTTGGGGCAACCATGAGCTGGATGACTGAGAATCCCCATAGACATAACAGATGGCAAATTATCAAGGAGAATTCCAGCCTAGACAGAAGAAGACATTTCCTCCAATGAGAACAATTATCATTGCAATGGCTTACTTTGGAACTGGAGGCTTTCAAGAAGAGACTGGACAGCCATTTGTCTGGAATGGTGGAGGGTCTCCTGTTTGAGCAGGGGGGTGGACTAGAAGACCCCCCCCCCCCAAGGAATCTTGTAGCCAATTATTCTATGTACTTTGAGGAGTGAGATTAGTCAACCTCTGTCCATTAGTCTTTCTGAAACACATGCGACTGCACACGTGTGCATATTACCTTTCCAAGCAGACATGTTTCCAAGGTGATGGAGCACATTTGAAAGACACCTGGCCTAGAAGGGCCACAGAAGCAGAAAGACAATGTAGAGCAGTGATGGCTAACCTTTTCAGCTTGGTGTGTCAAAAATTGGGAAAAAGTGTAGCCTTCCTCGGGTCGTGTGTTACTTCAAGAAATATCAGTAATTTGGTTTATGACAGACTGGGCTGGGGTGATCACACAGGGCTGTGAAACTCGTCTCCCTGGTCTCAGGGCTGCAGGTGCAGGATGTGGGGATCGGAAGGCCACCTTATAGGGCTGTGAACCTCATGGATCTCCTTTCCTCCTGTAGCGTTCCTGAGGTAATGAAACTGACAAACCTCAGTTTATGGCGGTTAAGACTGGTTCTCTGCTGCAAAGATCTTGCGGCAGCGGTGACACCACGCCTCCACGCAACAAGCAGGGAGCAGGGATTGGAGCAGAGCACAGGCAGCCTCTAAATGTGCAGGTTTTCCCCACACCAACAGGCATGTCAGTCAAAGTGCCTCAGCGTGTCACGAGTGACACGCGTGTCATAGGTTAGCCATCACTGATGTAGAGTTTCAGGAAGTGAAGGAAGGGAAGGGAAGGGAGAGGAGAGGAAAGGAAAGGGGACATGAGGGAAGAAAAAGGAAGGAAAGGGGAGAAAAGAAGGGGAAGGAGAATAAGGGAAGGGAAGGGATGGAAAGGGAAGGGAAGGGCTAAGTGAATGACATGTTTCTCTTCTGCTAGTTCTCCCAGGTTTTTTTTTTTTTTTTCAAGGCAGTAGGGAAAGAATAAGGCAAACAGACTTTTGGGAAACATATAAAATTTATTGTACGTCATAAACAGTTTATGAATATAATAACAGCAGAACTCATATTACTGTACTTTCTGAAGGAAATATTGCATAATTACTTCCCCACAAATATCATTCCTACAATAAAGGATATAGTTATGTATTATCTATCCATTATCCATACATAAAACAATGATTTCTTCCTCTCTAGTGGATCTACTAGTTGTGCATAGCTATATAAATTCAATCTTAAAAGAAGAATGCATTATAAATGTCCTCTTGTTCAACAGTTCCTGTTGTTCAACAACTTCCTGTGAATTGTAATAACTTTATAGAATATTAATGGATTGTCAATGCCTGAAAAGATAGGAAATGGAATAATTTGGCTCCATCTCTGACATTTTTTTTTTTTTGTTCATCTGACAAAAGAGAATTCCCAAAAGAAAATATTGACCAATTCCAGGAAGTTAATGTACTTTGAAAACAAATACGAACAGAGAATTGGGATGAAGTTTATACTTTGTTTTCTGGGATTTATCTCATTTGGCAACACTACTTATATTTCTCATTTGTTGAAGTTTAGACATTGAAAAGCAGTGCAGCTTCCAGTAAAACCACAGTTAGAATACTGCATCCAGCTTTGGTCACCACAATATAAAGAAAGATGTTGAGACTCTAGAAAGAGTGCAGAAAAGAGCAACTAAGATCATTAGGGGGCTGGAGGCTCAAACATAGGAAGAACGGTTGCAGGAACTGGGCCTGGCTAGTCTAGTGAAGAGAAGAACCAGGGGAGACAGGATAGCAGCTTTCCAATATTTGAGGGGCTGCCACAGAGAAGAGGGGGTCAACTTATTTTCCAAAGCACAAGAAGGCAGGACAACAGGGGATGGGAATCATGGGATGCATAGATTTACTGCTTTAACCTCTATATCTGAGCAGACACATAAATAATTAAGAGATAACAGAATAACAGAGTTGTGAGGGATCTTACGGATCTTCTAGTCCAGGGCTGTCAAACTCGCGGCCGGTGGGCCAGATACATAATGCGCTGACCATGCCCATGCCTGGTTTAGTGAAGGGGGAAAAATTGCGATATGTCATGTGACGACGCCATAACAATGCAAGTTTGACGCCCCTGTTCTAGTTCAACCTGCTGCTCAAATAGGAGACCCTATATCATTCCAAGCAAATGCCCAATCTTCTTTTCCTAAAAGCCTCCAGTGATGGAGCACCTACAACTTCTGGTGGCAAGCCATTCCACTGGTTAATTGTTCTCACTGTCAGGAAGTTCCTCCTTACTTCTAGGTTGTTGTACTATATTTACCATGGTAGGTCCCTTAGTTTGCCAATTTGAGCCAAGCTGAAATACCTTCTGTGTGGAATAGATAGGATATTATAAGGGCGGACTTTGTCGTCTCAGATTTGGGCTGAACACACATCAGCCCTGTGGTTTATCTTACCTTACTAGATAAGTTCTTCTAATTCCCCGAGGAGGCAGATTGAGTCTGATTTGGTGTTTTTTTTATTTTATTTTTTTGTTTACAATTTACAATATAAAATACAAAAACAAATAGTAGGTAAACAGGGGAAGGGGAGAGTGTAGAAAAGAAGGGGAAAAGGAAGAAAAGACATTTGGTGCCGTAAAATAAGACGGTAACATCAAACCCCAACTTTTTACTTTTTCATAGTAGTATAATAAACTAGCCATTTCTGTATCAACGGATCTGTCTAATCGGTAAAACCCATTTCATTTTTTTCCCCACCCCGAGCACAAAGTTCAGAAGAGTTTGGTTAGGTGTATTGTGGCATCTTATGCCAATAATCCTGCCTCTCAGCCCTGATAAAGTCTCAAGCCAAGGTTGAGAAATTATTTCAGAGACTAAGCACACAGCTCACCAACCCGAATCCTGCCATCCTGGTATGATAGATACGGTTTCTGCAAGCCACTGTGATTATTTTTCAATATTTATATAGCTTAGTATGTGCAAGTTTTAGGTCATTTTTTTGGTTCTCTTGTTTACTTTAGGTGGTATTGGTTATCTATTGCCAAGATTTTAAACAGGGGTCTTTCCCATTTGACGGATTCTTTTCCAGTATAATTTTTTAAGTGGATATTTATATCGAGACACAAATGAATGGATTGGCACTAAGAATTTAAGCTGAATTCACTATTTTTTTAAAATATATATATATATATTGTACCTCAATAGCTAAATTAGATTTTTTCCGATGCTTGAGTTTTTGTCCACAAAGAGCAAAATGGATGAATGTTTATTAATGATCTTTATATAAATATGCAATTAGGGCAAATCTGTTCCATTTAAAGGTGCACTTTGATCTATCTATCTATCTATCTATCTATCTATCTATCTATCTATCTATCTATCTATCTATC